TGTTGCCCCTACCATAAAACAAAAAGCTTACGGTGAGGACTAGCCGGTTTGCTCAGTTGGTTAGAGCGTGGTGTGTGAAACAAACTTGGTCAGTAGAACCAGCCGTGACCATGTTCAAGGTAATTCTATTAAAATCCTTTCATGGAAAGGTTAAAAGAGGCAAAGTTAAACAGAACACTTCTGAATGATACATAATAGATGGTGAAGACAAAAAAATATCTATAAAATTTCCGAGCAGTGGTCACTTCTGGGGAGAGGAGGGAATTGAGGTCAGGATGGACACACTGTGAGCCTAACATCTGCACAGTCTATTCATTAGTGTGTGTCCAGTCTGCAGAGTTTATGTGACACTAATGTTTAAACTTAGAACATTGTATGTAATTTTTTCTAAGCATGATACACCTCACTAAAAAAATTTAAAGAACTATTTACAAGTGAAAAGATGTACAATTTAAAAATGTTTGTTTTAGCCTGTGATATGACTACCTGCCCAGCTTTGCTATCAGTCTTAGTGTGGAAGGAGTTCGCAAGCCTTTTGTACTGGGTCCATTTAAATTTATCTCTATATTCATTTGCGCAGGTTTGGTAGCAAAAGATTGAGAACCAGCCAATGTCTGTTTAGAGATAAGCGATTCCGTAAACATACATTATTAACTTTTATAAAAATTAAGGAAGTCACGTATTGGTAATGAAAAGAGCTTCAGGACTGATGTCTAATTGAACAAAAAAGCAAAGCATGTATTGCTGTGTAAACCAGAGGGCATAATACAGTTGTGGAAACAATAATTGCATGAATTGGAATTTTAGAGAAGGTGACTTCCAGGGCAGGGTTTTTGCTAATTCTCAGCAGGGACCGAAGATCACATTTGGCCCATGTGGGGGACAGAGAAACCGGGGAAGCATTGGTTGCTCACTCAGGGCTGGTGCTAGCAAAAGAGATCACATGACTTGAGAAGCACCAACATGGTCGGTGTTTTCCACAGGACATTGTCTGTGTTCTGGGGATGAACGTGGAGNGGGACTGTGGACTCTCTCTTCACGTGCCTCTCCATGGTTTAACTTGTCAGGTGAACGTGTGACTTCTTGGGTTTTGTTTTTCTCTAATGGAGTAGAAACAGGAGGAGGAGGGGAAACAATTGGGCTTTAACCTCAGGAGAAGACCTGCCAGGTGCGGGTCTGGTTTTATTCTGACGCCACCTGTGGTCAGCTGTGCCACCGAGAGCCACCACCAGGGGGCACAAGTGAGGCTGTGGAGTAGACACCTTTGGTTTTCACCTGCCAGGACACCTTTCCAGTGTCTTTTGTTTTTCTCTTTTGTTGGCAGCTTCTTTAGGCAGCATCACCTCTGCTTCCTTTG